CTGTGTCCTGCCTGTCACTTCCCTGTCACTGCACCTGTGTCCTGTCTGTCACTTCCCTGTCACTGCGCCTGTGTCCTGTCTGTCACTTCCCTGTCACTGCGCCTGTGTCACTTCCCTGTCACTGCGCCTGTGTCCTGTGTCACTTTCCTGTCACTGTGCCTGTGTCCTGTGTCACTTCCCTGTCACTGCGCCTGTGTCCTGCCTGTCACTTCCCTACCTATGAGGTGGTGCTCTCTGCATTCAGGGTGTTTTCTGTATACCATTTAAATTTCTGGAGACTCCGACAAGCTGAGCTGTGTCTCTTAGGTGACTGCAAATCTAGTCAGGTAGACATGATTCCCTGTCACAGTGCATCTCTCATGAGTACAGCAGACTTCAGCTTTCACTTGTCTGGTTCCTCCCCTGCTCCTGATGGTTCCTGATGGGAATCATCCAGTTTCCTGTAACTCATTGTACCTGTCCCTGCACTGTTCCGAAGAGACTTGATGCACAGTTGATAAGTTATAGGCTGGAGAAACTGGAGAGATGGCTCAGTGGTTAAGAGCAGTAACTGCCCTTGCAGAGGACCCAGTTGGATTCCTAGCGTGGTGTGGTGCCTCACAGTGACTACATCTTCGGTTCTAGGAGGTCTGACTCCCTCTTCTGACTTGTAGGTGCACCAGGCACACACGTGGTGCACATGCATAATGCATGCAGGCAAATACTCATACACAGAGACCAAGTAAATTACCAGGGACGGTGGTGCACACCTTTAATCCTTGCACATGGGATTAGAGGCACTCGAGGCCAGCCTGGTCTACAGAGTGATCTAGGACAGCCAGAACACACAGAGAAACCCTGTCTCGGAAAAAAAGCAAAACCCAACAAAACCCAAACAGAACAACCCGAAGCAAAACTGTAAGTTCCATTTTCTATACAGAGGTGTTCAGTACACATCACTGTTGTCGCTGTATAGCAAAGGGAGGCCAGGGCAGAGCACTGCTGAGACACCGTGCACACAGCTCTGTGTCCTGCCCATGAGGGATTCCTCTGGGCTCCAGTGGCCTGAGGTCGCTCCGTCACTATAGCTGTGCTGCCCACAGCACATGGAGCCTCGTGGGCCAGCTCCACTCAATGCCTGCAGCCTTCCTTGGCAGATGGCCTGTGGTTCTGGCACCTCCAGCATCCTGGTGTCTCCACGGGAACTTGGGCTTCACAGTCACCACTTTACACGGTGGCATCTCAGGGCCTCCTGTCCCCGGTGGCTTTCCAGAACATTGTTGCAAGCCTCCATGACTCCTTGCACTTGTGTTTTGCGTCTGTAAAGCCCCAGAGCCAAGTGTCTGGTGCCACCGAGTTTTTTGCCAGCCTAGCATGTGGCCCCTTGGGCCAGTGCTGCAGTGGCCTCTGTACCTTGGCTGGACCTGAGGAGCCACTTTCCTGGGGCACTTATTTTGAGGAAGGGACCCCTTCAGGGCCCTCAGTTCAGTGTTCCTTTTAAATGATTTGGGTTTTCACAATTTGGAACTTCCGTGCTGGGTTCTGTCTCTTCTCTGCTCGCCCCATGCAGAGTTCAGGGATTGAGTGCTTGAAGCTGCATTTGGAGCCAGATCTTCAGCTGAGATCTTGCTTGAACTCTGTTTCCCCACTGAACCTTATGTTTTCTTTGTTCTCTTCCCCTCACTGTTGCGCTCACAGTGCGCGGGCTGTCCCATTTTGAATATTTTTTTCCCATAGAGCAGCTGAGCCTATTATTATTATTGAGACATTTTTTTTTTGTGTGAGAATTCTGGAATTTTGGTTTCTTTAAAAACCAGAAATATAAGAATTTATTTTTGTTTTAATCTCAGGTATGGGATATGGGGCTGTTTCGAGTCCCCTCAGCAGCTGAATATGATTTGCCTCGTGTACTAGAAAAGGTGTGGCTTTGCCACCTGCAGATAGTTTTTTGCAATTGTGTGAAGTTTGGGATTGTAGGAACTTTTCAGAAGGTGTATAAATGCTGGGCCTCGGGAGATGGGTTTGGTGGTTGTTGGTCGCTCAGGGGAGTCGGCTGTGGTTTGTTAGTTGTGCTCAAATAAGAAATAAGAAGAAAGAAATCAGATTTAGGTCTCTCTCTCTCTCTCTCTCTCAATCTTTTTTTCTCTTTTCCTCCCTCCCTCTCCTTTCCCTCTCTCCCTTTCTCCCTCTCTCTCCTTCCCTTTCCCCTTCCCCCATTTCCTTCTTTCCTTCTTTTTCTCCTATCTAGTGACATGGGGGCCAGGGGAGATAAATGGTGGGAAAAAGGAGAACCCACAAAGTAGCAAAGACCAGCTACAGTTTCTCTGTGTGGCCCTGGCTGTCCTGGAACTCACTCTGTAAACTATGCTGGCCTCCAACTCATAGATTCATCTGCGGTCACTTCCTGAGTGCTGAGATTAAAGGCGTGCACTGCCATCCCCAGCTCTCTCTGTTACTTTTGATGTTGGCTCCACTCCAGTGTTCAGGAATTGGACAGGAGGCAGGTAGAGTTTTTGGCAAAGGTAACAGAGTGGTCTTAGGCTAGCCTTGTTCCCTTTGGGAAGCTCATGGCTTCCACTGTACATGTTACTTTTTACCTTCTGCTCTTCTGGATTCCCACCAGAGTGGCCATGAAACTTTCACGGTCCTCCCAGATACTTGTGGTCTGATCTGTCCACACAGTGGCACCTTCTCTCAGTACCAGTTTTCTGTATTAGTCACTTACTTGTTGCTGTGACCAAACCTCTGGCCACAAGCATCGTAAGGACGTCTGTTATTGGCTGTGATTTGAGGATCCCTTCACCCTGGCGATGGGAACGTGAGGCGGTTGGTCACACTCAGCCTGCTTCTTGTCTCCTTCGTGATTCATTCTGGACCCCACCCGGATGCAGTGTGGGCTTTCTTCATGTATACCCTGGAAACACCCTTGTAAAGCTGCCTCACATCTGTCTCTTGGGTTGTTAACAGTGCAGTTGAGCAGCACTGGGTCCCATTCAGTGCGTGTCCTTAGTTGTCTTCAGGATGGCTCCAAGTTCATGTTCATAATAGCAGCTGACTCCATGGGCCAGCATCCTGGACTTAACATTGTTCTCTGTCTGGAGGCTCTGTCTGAGTGGAGAAGCACAGATGTCCTGGTGCATGCATCTGAGGTGCAAGAGGCAGGCACTCATGGTGTCAGGGAAAGCAGGCCTAGGGTGCTAGTTGATGGGGCACTGGTGGGGACTAGAGGCAGTAGGTGAGGTCTCATGGGGTCTTAGGGGAAGCCTTGCTGCCTTGTGGCCTGCAGTGAGGCCCAAAGCATGCCTATGGTTCACACAGGTACGCACACGGTCAGTGGGAGAGTGTGTGGAGTATTATTACTTGTGGAAGAAGTCTGAACGCTACGACTACTTTGCCCAGCAGACACGGCTGGGCCGGAGGAAGTTCATCTCCTCTGGAACCACGTGCGTGCTCTTTCTGGTCATCTGGCCAGGGTGGGTGTGGTGGGATGCGGGGCGGCCCCTCCTGGTGGGGTCTCCTTCCCTGGCTTTTTTTTCTTCATCACTCTCTTTCCACAGGGATACTGAACAGGATTTGGATAGTCTGGACCCTGATGGCCATGCCCCATTGCAGTCTGAGGCAGGGGTGCCCGTGGGTGAGTCGACATGAGGGGGGTCTGTGGGTGAGGACAGGGAACCCAAGGCCTTCAGCAGTTAGTTCCCAAGTGAGCAGTGGGCCTACTTGGTCCCGCCCCCAGATGCCAGCCCCGTTTACCCTGTGGCTGGGAGTGGACAGAAGGACATCCACACAGGGGACGTGAATAAGGACCGATGCTGCTCCTGTGAAGTCTGCTTTTTGGAGGAGGCATCATTTCAGTGGTCCCTGTGTTGTGCCTATGGCTTTGAAGGACCATTTCCAATGTCACCATTTCCAGCAGAGCCCTAATGCTTTACCTCCTGGGCCTCTGATTCCTGTTTCTAATGCTGTAGACATGGCACGGTCCTGACCACAGTCTCTGGCTGAGCCCATTGGCATGGCGGCTTGCTTCTTGTAAGGAGGCCTCGCATAAGTGAGGTCTGTGAGGAGCGTGTCGGGCTGTGGGAGGAGCTGAGCTTCTGCTCAGGCCGTTCTTGCTGTTCTCCCTTCAGAGCCTCTGAATGTGGATGTCGAAGCTGGAGGACCCGACCAGCCTGGAGTGGGTTCGGATGACCTCCCGTCCTCAGAGGCAGGACTGTGTCCATTCCAGCAGCTGGATGACCCCCCTGCTGTGCCCTCGCTCCAGCAGCCGGCTAGCCTGGCCACCTCAGCTGAACTCCCACCGCCTGCTGCTGCACCAGAGCTGGGCCCCAGCCCCAGGTTGGCTGTGGACCTTGCCCTACCTGAGGAGCTGCCCCTTGTGTCCAGCCCTGTGGATCTGAGCGAGGACACTGCAGAGCCCATGGCTCCAGCACAGGTGGCCCTGTCGGTCACTGAATTTGGACTCATTGGCATTGGGGACGTGAATCCCTTCCTGACCAGTCACCCAGCGTGCCCAGCCTCCACACTGCACTCGGAACCCTTGTCACAGTGAGTGCCTTCCGCTCGGTCCCTTCTACAGGCTGGAGCTCGGGCGGGCTGGCGGGTGCCCAGGATCGCAGCTGTTGTGGGCTGCGGCAGTCCTGGTCCTACCTCCTCTCTAGCTTTACTTTTCCCCTCGACGATAAGTTCTCATTGTTCGTTGTCCATAATGCTGCAAGTGGGCACAAGCACCAGGCTTCTCTCTGCCCTGTCTACTTAGGCAGAACCCAAAGCTGTGTTTGGGGTAGGGGCAGTGGGTCGGGATGGGCGGGCGAGCCCTGGGTTACTTGGCCACTGACCTGTGCTTATGGTTTCCCATAGGTGCAATGTGATGACCTGTTGATCCCTGGTCGTCTGTGGGTACGTGTGCTCAGAACGGACATGGCAGCACTCCCAGGCCTGCGAGTCAGTCTTCCTGACCCCACTTCCCATGCAGGCCTGTGTGATGCCTTCTCTGCTTCACAACATGATGGCAGTCAGTGAAGTGGCCAGGGCCACACAGACCCCAGACCTCAGCATCCAGCACCGCCAGAGCCCCAGGCTGCCACCGTGCCATGGAGTCAATCTAGCAGCTGGGCTCAAGAGGGCCCGTTCCAACATGGAGCCAGCCACTGGCTCCTCAGCCAGCAGAGGCTGGGCAGGCAGTGCTGCCTGGGGCTTTGGGCAGGACTCATCCCACACCAGCAGCCTCTGCCCAGGCACCCTCCACAGGCCAGCTCTTTCCCCACCACAGCGGGGTTGTGGCCTCCGGCCTCTGCTCAGCGTAGGACTTTGGGGCACAGAGCCATATACCTCGCCCTGTGGCCGCCCTTTCTCGGCCCTTTGCCGTCTTCACTTCAGGAAAAGCCGCACTTTATACCCCAACTGCCTCCTGCCTGTACTCCCCACCTTGTGTCGTGGTGGGGCCTCGGCGTTCCAGGCGCATGAGGAACATATGCTCTGTTCCCTTCCTGTCCCTCTCCTTGGGGCATCTCGGGACACAGCTGTGGAAGCACCACCCTGCCACCCACCTGTTCTGTGGGCCTCATTTCTTTCGAGGTTCCTAGCAGGGTGGCTGGGTGCATCTTGTTCTCGGCCTCCTTCATTTTATTTATGTTGGCGTTTACAATTTGGAGTGGGGTCCCTGGGCAGGCAGCTCCGCCCGGTGTTGGCAGAGCAGTGCTGTTTGAGCCTGTGCGGCTGGACTTGACCGTCCCTCGCCCCACCGAGGACACTGTGATGTGAGACTGCCTTTGCCCAGTGCTGTTTTATTTATTAAACTTGATTTGAAGCCCGGGGTGTCTCATGGATTCTAGGGGCTGGAGAGCCTAGATTGCCTTTGTTACCCCTTGGGGACTTTGGGCAAGAGCCTAATGACACAGCAGAATACAGATGAGGGCTGTAGATTACACAGGACCACAGCATGGGGCACATGCCAGTCCTGGAAGTGGGGATAAAGCTCAAACATCAAGTTTCAGCCTGCTTTGCCTGCAGCCAGTGGTGGAGGGGATGCTAGGGCTTCGACCCCAGGGGTGTAGGGGGTGGGGGGATAGGCAGAGGTACTGTGGCCAGTGCTGGCTGGGTTTGAGGAGGTTGGGGAAGGTCCTGTGTGGTCACCGTTGGAAACTTGTACCTGCGTCACTTCCTGGGTACTGTCGACTTGTTGGACAGGGACAGGTGACCCAGACTGTGAGGCCCAGTACAGAGAAAGGAAGATGAGAAAGGAAGTCTGAGAGCGGTGAGGACAGCAAGGGAGTTGAGAAGCCCCAGCTTGTGGGGAGGCTTTTGTGGGGGGGTATTGTTTAGGAGAGAGTCTGTTGCATCCACCTCTGTTCAGATGGTTTCTGTTGGGCGGACACTGAGATAAGGGCAGCTTTACAGCCTGAAGCCTTCTCTTCTAAAACCATGTGTTGCGCTGCTGTCTCTTCCTTTTTTGTAGTCATTACTGGTTTTGTTGTTTGTTTGTTTAAGTGGTTTTTCTGCGTTGTTTTCAGACAGGGTGTTGCTATGTAGCCTAAGATGTCTCACACTCTGTGTAGACCAGGCTTGTCTGGAACCTGCCATTCTTCCTGGACTGTGGTCCCAGCCTCCAGTGCTGGGAAGGGATCCCAAGGCCTTGCACGTGACAGACAAGTCCTCTGTCATGGACATAGTCCCAGCCCTGCTTTTTTTTTTTTTTTTTTTTTTTAATATTACTTGAGTATATATGTATCAGTGGGTGCATATATGTCATGAGAGTAAAGGAGACATTTCCTTCTATTTCTTGCATTCTAGAGATAAAACGCAGGTCGGCAGGCTTGACAGCATACAAGTTGCTACACCATCTCTCTGGCCCTGCCCTCCCTCCCTCTTTTCTTCCCTCTCTCCCTTCCTTCCTTCCTTCCTCCCTCCCTCCCTCCCTCCCTCCCTTCCTTCCTTTCTTTTCTCCTTCCCTTTCTTCCTCCCTCCCTCCCCCCCTTTGTTCACCTACACTGGCTCCAAACTCTCTGTGTAGCCCAGGCTAGTCTTGAGTTTCTGGTACTCCCTATCTCTGTTTCCTGACTACTGGGATTATAGGCCTGAGCAACCATGTACAACATACCTGTGTATTTTAGACAGGCTACCTGATTGCAAATTTGGGTCATAGAAGGCTGTGTTCACATTCCTGTCCCTTCAGCTCACTTCCTGTCAAGGCAGCTTTACTTTTTGTCTCACTGTTTCTGAGGATGGTGAGTCTTGATATGCTTGGGTTGAGTGGGCAGCCATGTCTGTGACATGCTCTACATGGTTCTGGGGAACGTAGGCCCATCTATAGAACACTTCTTCCAGACTAAGAGGTTTGGGGATCTAGAGCAGTGATAGGGAGCCTAGGAGGGTTCCCGGCTGCCACAGAATGCATGTTGGACTTGAGGTAGGCTGGAATTAGGAGCCATCCTGAAGTCTGTATTGTACTGGTGATCTATGTGCTTGCCGTCAGCATCTGTGTTTCTGCTTTGTACTGGACACTGAAGACTTAGGGAGCAGAGCTGGTCTGGCAGCCCTCGCCACCTGCAGCTGGGGCTGATGCCAGGCCACCCTCGTGATCACAGGCATTCCTACCAGTGCTGCCTCTTCCCAGCCCAGAGTTGAAGGACGTCCCCACATAGATTGCAGGCTGGGGAATTCCTCAGGACCAGGATGAATAAGTGTGGCAGTCTGTGCTAAATTGAGCGAGTGGATGTTGGCTTGGGGGAACCTGGATGGAGCTTGGAGGAGGGAGAAAGGCAGAGCTGGAGAGCCTGGGCCTGCCACTGCCCTGCTTAGTCGGAGCTCTGGGGTATGATGGGCCCAGGCTTGACTCCACTGTGCAAACTTCTGATCCCCTTTTCTCAGTGGTCCTCAGTCTATAGCTCCTTGATGGGCTCACCAGGTAAAATGCAGGGAACTCATTTCCCTGCAGACAAGCTGTTTAACATTGCACCCTGTTCTACACTGCCAAGATTATGTTTCCTCTGATAGTCGTTTGTTAAAGCTGCTAGTTTTCAGACCCTCTGGGCCTTCTGTCTTTTTGTTTGCTTGATCCAGCAGCCTGCCCTGGTCCGTTTTCTTGGGCTGTAGCATTGCCTGGATCCAGGCCTTGAGGCTGGCATGGAGCATTGGAGGAGTGGTGACTTGGGGGGATGTGTAGAGTCTTAGTATATAGATTTCCAGAGTCACACTTATATGGAGGAACCTCCAGACTGAGGTCAGGGTGACCACTGGGGTGAGAACCACTCCCTGCCTCTGTGGAGCTCTGACCATCAGAGAGACACCTATCATATCAGGAGGGATGAGCAATGACAACCGGGTCACCAAGGTGATGCTACCTCAGGTGCCAGAGGGTTCAGTCCCTCTATTCTGGAGTCTCTGCCTTGGAGCCCCTCCTTACCTGCCCCTCTGTGTGGTGCTTCTGTTTTCTGTTGTGTACTGGGTCCTGAGCAGCAGCAGGGAAGGAGGTTGCCATGTTTGAGAAAGAGGTGTGTGGGGACTGAAGCAAATACTCACACATGTCCTGCTGTGTGTAAGAGCAGTGCACCACCATTCCATTGTTCACTGCTGCTGGTATACCTTTGTCCTGCTGAGCCATCCCCAGTGCCTGTGCAAGGGATATGAGGTGTGTGTGCTGGTGGCGTGTGTGTGTTGGTGGTGTGTGCATTGTCCAGCCACTGCCTCATGGTCACATAGGAGAGCAGCTAGGCAATGGGCAGATGCACAGCCTGGGCCTTGCAGGTGACTGGCAGGGGGTGAGAGCTCAAGGTGACGAGGAGGCCGATTCTGGAGTGTGTTGGGTACTGAGTCTGAGGGCAGCCCACTCTCTAGGCTGCCCTCTGCTTGCAGGGTGCTTCTTCGTGAGTATGACCCTATGTAACTTTAATTTTTTCAAATCCCACTTTTAATGAAGGTTCTTAAATGCTTTAACCTTCCTTGTAACCCACCACCCACGAGAGGCAGTGGGAAAGAGAGGATATGGGAGAAGTGGACCTGCTTAGAAATGGTTCTTTGGAGTAATCCCGTCTGTGTTGTCTGGAAATCGGCCGTCTGGTTCACAGGTCAGTGGTGGTTTGATCCACTGCAGACACTGCACACACGGACACAGCAGCAGTCCCATTTGGTAGAGTGTAAGGTTAACAACAGCGATGATACAGCCTAGCAGAAACAGCCAGGCCTCAGCCTCGGCTTGAGTCAGCAGTAGGGACCCGGAGGGATACCAATTCTCAGCTGTGCCTCTCTCAGGGAAGTGAAGATCGGTGAAGATGCGAGGCCCACAAGCATTGCACAGCTAGCTGTACCAGCAAGCCAAGGTCTGCCTCTGTCACTCCGTGGAGTCCTATTTATACCTCCAGACGTCACGTGTCTTTCATATGTCTTGCCTCAGCATGGGTCTTGCCTTAGCACGTGCGTCCAATCAGGCTGAGTCCATGGAAGCGGCAAGAAACTGCAGTGTACACTGGAAGTTTTTAGGTGTATTTCTATGGAGTCCTGACAAATGCAGCTCAACTATGCAGTATAAGGCGGACCAAAGCTTTCTTCCTAATACTAATCCTTCATCACGTGTCCTTTCACAGGCTTGCTTTAGCAGAACATCCTCTCTCCTGTGTCTGCTTTACAAGTATGCCTTAGCCTTTCACACTTATGTCCAGGAAATGTGCCTTCACATGTTTGCCCCAGCAAAACACCATCCAACCAACTTTCCAAAGAACACTCCAACCTTACTTCTAACTGCTGATTTCTAAGGGTCCTAGGCTACAGGGTCTGTCTTCAGGGACACCCAGATTTTATGCTTTGGACTGTATCTTGCTTGCATCAGACCCTGTGGGAGCCTGACCCTCACTCTGGAGAGGTGGGCAATGAAACAGCTTTCAGATCCCCAGAGAGATGGAGAGCTGAGGGTGGTGACTGTGTGTGCATATCCCTCTGCTCTCTTCCTGGATCCTTTGCAGCACTCTTTCAGAGACATGGATGCCTTAGTGCTCATGAGTGTCCAGGGTCAGAGCGAGCCCTGGGCCAACAGTGCCCTGTGGGAATGTGAAGCTAGCAAGGCTGTAGGACTGTTAAGTGCCCTCTGCTGCAGGGGAAGGGCAGGCTCCGAGCCCAGGCTCTTTGGGGCCCTGTACAGGATAGGCAGCTTGGCCCAACATGGTCTGGTGGGAGAGTTCTCCTGTGAAGTTCCTGTGTGTCCACACTGGTAGTGGATTAGGAGCCATGACCTCAATCCCAACCCTAATCCTAATTTTCGCTACCTCCACAAGGCTTTAATGCTGATATGTCCACGGAGTTTAACAACTGACCCAATTCCTTCCAAGAGGGGAAGGATAAAAGGAAGATTCCATGCAGGTTCAATTCTCCCACAGACTCCCTGCTAATCCAGGCTCTCCCTCCTCCAATCCCATCTCTCTTCCCATCCACCCTGGCCAGCCTTGTCCTCCTCTTTGCTCACACTTCTCAGGCCTCAACCCTCCTCTAGCCTCACCAACCCGCCTTCATCAACATTCTCTATCCCCACCCTCATCTCTTCTCTAGCTCCCCCACTCACCCTCCTCCAGCTTCCTCCATCTTCCCACTCACCTTCCTCCAGCTTCCTCCCTCCTCCCACTCACCCTCCTCCAGCTTCCTCCCTCCTCCCACTCATCTTCCTCCTATTAGTCTTCTTCCAGCCACATCCCTTTTCCATCTTCACCCTCTTCTAGCCACACCCCTCCTTTCACCATTCTCCAGCTTCCCCTTCTCCATCCAGTCTTTCTTCCAGCTGCATCCCTCTCCCTGCCCACCCTCCCCCTGCCTCCTTTCCTCAGGAGCC